CAATTTTAGAATACGCTATTGCGTTTCGTACTGAAAACGCTGCGAGAGACGGCGATTTTAGGTTTCATTAGACCGCGGCATGCCAAATTAAATTTAATATCAACGTGCATGTGGAAGTCATTTTTTCGTACAAAATACAATTCCTCCCGACGCAAAACTCCACGTTTTACAACCGCACAACGGCCATTGTAAGGAAAAAGCGAGACGAAAGTTCCGCGGTCCGCCTCGTCTTTTGATTTGCGCGTCTTACGTCGCTCTTTCGCGCGGTCTCTTCTTTTTTCTTCTGCGGAATATTTGCGGAGAACGCGAGTCGTAATTTTTCGGCCGTAAAGTGTAAAGTTCGAGGCGCACGCTCCGCGGCCCGGAATAAAGCGTGTCTTTGCCGTCACTATGAAACATTCATACGCGCAGAAATACTTCACAATCTTCCCTCCTGTCTCGATCCTGGGCTTTGCGCTCGTTTGCCCTCTTCTTCTTCTTCTCTCGCCCGCGATAACTTATTGTGCGAGCGTGCTGCATCGGGCGAATCGCGCGGATACACGAAACCCTCCTCGCGTTTTTCCGTGACTTCTCGTTAAACATTTGCGACGAACCCTTTCAGGAACCCTCGCACGACGGTCTTGAATTACGTCGCGAGCGCGCCGGTGGATTCGCGGCGGATTTAGAGCCTGCATTTTTAAGCTCTCCGTGTCGATCCAAGCTCTCGTTTCTTCGCCGGTAGTTGAGATGTAACGAATTCCCGCTTCAACTTTCCTTAATCCCTTGCGAAAATTCCGTGCCCGGGAGTCCAAAGGGACTGGGTCCAAGATTACATGCAGTAGTAACGAAAGATAACCGGGAGGAAGCGCGGGCTTTACAAATGATAAATAAAAAACAATAGAATAGAAATCAGCCGGTGGGCGCTTTCTTCTGGGAAAGTCTAAATAATGAAACGGAATAATGCGAGCGAAACGCAATTATCTAATGCAGCAACGAGTGTCACGAGTTGTTTCAATTTTTCTTTGGTCTTCCACAAATAAAGTATTAAAGCAGATATTTTCTCTTCGGTTGAAGAGCAATCGAATAAAGGCTGAAACGTTCCGCCGTTCACAACGGTACTTTACTTTAATTGGAGAAGATCCGAGTAAAGGTTGAAATGTTCCGCTGTTTACAACACTGTTGGTACTGTATCATTACGCGGATATCTGCGTTTATACCGCCTTGCATTGACCCGCTCATCCCTATTTCAGTTTCATAGATTACAAAGCGAGATAAATCACAACTAAAATTTTCAACTACGGCTGCTTCAAAAAGCTCGGAACACGCGCGCGCGTAGTAAGTCCGTATGCATTTATAATATGTTTTCCATTTCAATAAACGTTGAATTTCTAAACAATTTTTCGATCCAACTGCCGGATTTATCAACTTGATTGATCTGTTGAAAGCGCACCCACAGAAAAAATGTCCAGGCCCAATGCTGTTACACTTCAACGTATCATAAAATAGGATCGATATAGCGCCAATCATATTTATTATAGAGAAAGGAATATTTTAATTTTAAATGAAAAATTCTAAAATCTAGAATAAAATGACAGTATGTATCGTCGTGGTGTCACGACGGAGGGAAAATTTATTCTAAACGCAAGAATATATAAACTTACATTTATATAAAATACTCTCGTCTCAGTATAGTAAGTCAATCTCTTTTAATTCGATAGAGGAGAATAAGAATTATTGATTTTGTTTTGATATTGTCTGATTTTTATACTAAACGAGATTGTGAGAAATATAAATGCGTCAAGAATATTTTTTGTCTCGGCAACAGAAATCTTTTCTGAGGGTGCGCGCGTCCACTTAATTCTACGCAGATGCGATGCAGATGGGAAATGCACTTTTGAAAGTAGTTCCGTTGTTCAAACAATTGTAAACGGGAAGGATACACGTACCGTTGAATTAGCCGCACATGTTTATTCTCGTTCACCTAATTACTCCGCGATTCACTGTTACACGCATGGATCTTGATAACGGCCGACGCGACGTCTAATTACTCTCCTTCGCGAAACGCACGTCAGTCTTCATCTTGTCCGAAGCAACGCTATTCTTAGAACTTTACGCTCTCGGCTTCATTACGGCACGTTGGAACGCGTACTCCAGCCGGCGGTATGCGATCAAAGTTCTGCCTCGCGGGATCATTATCGTCTATTAAAAACTCATCGAACTCATCAGCCAAGTTTTCGCAGTCTTATGGGAAATTTTTAGCCGCCCCGTTGGGCGAATAAGGTCTCGAATCGAAGTCCGCCCGAGCTGTAAACCACCGCGTATCCATTGTACGCACGTCGGACATACGTTTTTCTCCCCCCCCCCTCCCCCGTTTTTTATCAGCCGACTAAATGATAGTGGCGCGACAGAAAGCGGGAAGATTGTCCCGCGGTAGATAAGAACCCTACACATTTGTTAGGGAGACCTTACTCGCTCCTTTTGACATTTCCGGTAGGGGGATTTCACGTGCTACGATAAACCTTATCTATCTGTGAGAAACGTTATATAATTACGGACACAATTGTTACGCCTGTGTAACACGTTTATTCGAATCTGGTGAAATTAATATCTTCCTTGCAACTTTCTTGCTTCTTGTCGAACATTTACATTGAAAGACGCGAATTAAGTAATTAAATGAAATTGGTTTGCAAGAGCTCGCAAACAATTGCTCGCATTTATGGAACGATTCCTACTCATATTTCTATATTATAATACTTTTCACAGCACATTTAGGGTCTGAGTAGGAAGATTGTTATAACCGTTTACAATTCTGTCGTAAGTCTTAAGTCGATGTCAAAAGTTAACACAAAGAATTGTCGTAGACGTCGTACGTCGCCTTGAGATGCGACGAATGCGACGTACGTGTACGGCAATACTATGTGCGTTTACTTCCGACAGCGACTTGCGTCTTACTACGGAATCGTAAACACGACAATCTTTTTGCTCAGGCCCTTACGCGGATCAAGAGACGATTGCACCTTTCTCGCTCGGAGAACAAGTTTACGTTTGTCAGAAAATCACCTAATTCCTGACTAAACACTAGCTTTAGCTCGGCATTAAAATTGTGACAAATATGTAAATGTCTGAAGCAAATAGCGAGGTTTTCCGAAAAGAGAGACACTATTGTGCGTACAACCCTCACTACAATTTCAGAATAAAGGGGGCCCAGGTGCGATGGTGCTTTGCCACCGGATGTAACGAACGTCCCTCTGCATGCAATTACTGGCAGGTGTGAAAACAAATCGAATCCCAAAAATCTACATTGAAAGAGAAAGAGTTTGTATATCTCTTTCTGTTTATGGCAAAAAAGGAGTTTTCGGACTAACGATCGATTAATTTATATAGAAAAAATAAATGATGAAGAACGTCAATTTACATTTAAAAACCCGAATTCGATAATTTAATTAAAGCGAGTTTTATGCAAAACTTGCTCAAACATAAGTTTTACAATTTTAGCAGGAAATATAGTGCAACAAATTTTTTGCGCGGTTGTATGTTAACCTCAGTGGTATTTTTTAAATAAAACCATACAATTTTTTTATGTAATACGATTCTTTGAGTTATTCTGTATATGAATGTATTGAGGTAAGCTTATCAAAAAGTCAGTAGTGCAAGAGACATTTCATATTTTATTCCGATATTCTCGCGTAAAAACATCGTATAAAATATCCATTTTCTGATAAAATTAACATTAATATAATTTAATTTAATATTTTTATCAATAGAAAAGAAGAGATCAACCGATTAATATAAACAAAACATAACTAAAAATTTTCGTTAATTGCAAATTTTTACTTCTTTGTATCCATCAATTTATCTCATTAATTTATGTATAAGAGTATCAAGGTAAAACCGAAAAGTGAATGTTTTATGAGTTAGTCGTATCTTATTCAGGCAATATTTAAACATGAGATACAAAATATCACATGTCAGATCTTTCTATAATCTTATCTTATTTTCTATAAGTAGGTTAAAAATGTCGATAACGTTGATATCGATATGAAAATACGTGAATTTTGTTGCATAAATCATATTTTCTTTTTAAAATTAAAAATATCTGAGCAATTAGGCAAAATGCTTAAGCAACTTTTTTCATAAAATTTAATTTTTCGAAATTACTTAGGTGTAACTTTTTAAAATAGAACATCCTGTGTATTTCTTTTTACGGATCCGTATCTCTTCGCTTTTATTATTGACGATGAACAATGTTTATCTTGAGAATTCATCTAGCTGATATTGCTCGATAAATTGACAGCATTGAAATATACAGAAAGGTCGTGATGCCATCACTAAAATAAACATAAACGCTGATGCGAAAAGGATTTGAAATACGTGTTTCATCTGATAATACTTTATCGATTGGATAAAAATTAGAACTCTTTAAATTGATTACGGGAGGAACGTGTACGACAAACACAATATCGCGGACGAAGAAAACGTAAAAAGAAAAAATATGTATAAACCGGCAGGTCTTAAAATATTAATTAATTTAAATGGAATTTCAAGTGTTTTATTGTATGTCGCGTGAAATTTATAACATTGCGAGATTTAATTTTATCCCGCGCGTATACTCTCGTAAATAATTTATTAGAAGGAAAAAGAAGGAAAAATCCGAATATCTTTATTTTTTATGCATCGAGATAATAAATCTTTCTAGTATAAATAATTAAAAGTGGGGTTTTTCTGTTTTATTGTAAGTACAAAAACTAAAAGTTTCCTTCTATTTATTAATTGTTCTGATTTTTTCAAAAAATATTACTGAAATGATCTACATGCATAATCTTCTCAATTATGTCTGCACGATACTTTCGCAGCTCTTATCTTGCGCCGGGTATTACCGACGGTAGACGCTTTTGCTGCACGATCGACCATTGGTAGGGTCTCATCTGTACCCGGTACATACCCGGTGGGAAAAGAATAACCGCGTGCGCACGAGAGTATCGATCCCCTTGCCCAACGTCTTTTTCCCGTTGATGTTTCAGCGAGCAGTCAACGCCACATCGCCATCTGCCTGGGACTCTGCGAGGTTCCCTGAGCCATTCTCATAATCATCACCACAACCACCATCCCCACAGACATGAACTACCACCGTCGACGTACCTCACACCCCCACCGCCACCAGCGTCGAGTTACATCACGGTGCAGCGCGGCTGCGCTCTGCATTCGAGGTGAGTCACACCCGGTATGTGCCGCGGTAGATACTCTCTGCATCGCCCTCAGGACCAGGTCTAGAGGACCTGATGAGTTTGGGCACTAATTTGTTCTACGAGCGTGTCAATAGACAGTTTATTTTGCTCCGAAGTGAGAACGGTTTCTTTAAAAATTTAGATTTTCATCTACATAGATTTTGAAATTATAAGGAAGTCGAGGATAATAGTCTCTTTTTCTCGTAGACTATTGAGACTTCTACGGCCTTTGTACTTGTAAAAGCTGTACAAGAAATCTGAATAAGCTCTAAAAGAAGGACTAGAATAATATAGAGGAAAGTCTCCCGGTACAAGATAGGCTTCTAATATGAGATAGCGGACTTTCAACATCCAAACTCAATCACAAATCATTTTTCGCAATCACGCATTTCACTCTTCCAAAGGCCATAAATTCACGATGAAACCAACAGATGATGCCTATTAATTTAGCAGAAACCCGCTGTCTCATATTAGGGGATTTTCCTCTACGTATAATGCACGATAAGGGACAAATATAATATTCTATGCTTCTATTTTCTAACACGGTTCTTAAATACATTTAACTTGCACTTTTCGTCGTGGCTATTCAAACTACTAATTTCGCTACGTAGTAAACTACAGTCGTACAACTTCCATTCCACGCTTGCAATAAAATCTATGTAAGAAAGGAGGAAAACTAGATGCGCTACGTAAAATGAAATACGCTAAGGACAGCATATAACCTTTTACAGTACGCTGGCTACATGCACGTGTATCTCCTCAACAAAAAGAGAGAGGTACAAGAATGAGACTCGTTCCTTCCGCGAAATGCTTGCTATTCAAAGCGGCACGCGCAGCCTGACAGGGAAATACGAACGGATCGCGCTGCTTTGCTTGTTGCGGATTCTACGATAGCACGAGGAGGCCTTTTATTCGGTAATACGCCGCGGATGATCGATCACGTCGCGTGTTCGGCAACAATTCACTTCGAGTTGGAGGTTCTTGATAGCATTAGATTTTAATTACGGCTTCGATCACGTTGCTCTATTATTATTTCTCTCTATTGTCGATTACGATTCTCTCTGCATCGTCGAACGTCTATTCAATTCAGACGTCTGCACCCCAAGTACTTTGTTATTTTCAACATTGAAAATCGATAGCTTTCGTCTGGAAAATAAATAACCTGTTTGCGTATTCGATAATTTATATACGAGCTACATAATTTAACAGAAAATTTATCCCCGTTATTTTTGATTGTAAAATATTGGCGATTTTATTAAATCGGCTACAATCACATGTATCCTCGTCAGGTTCGAGATGTCTAAGGAATCGATTGAGAGGGTAGCTATATGCAATGGCGAGTGGTATCGGAGATGTTTAAATATAGGCGAGACGCGCGCATCTAGAATCTGCAAGCTGCACCGCTGCTGGCCAAAAGCGACGTAATTCCGACTTCTGCATTCACCGCAAGCGATCCGCGTGTCCTTTAAACACGCGCCGACTTTTGAAACACGCGCGCCCGCGGATCACGTTTTTAGGCTGTATTGGAGACCCTCTAATCAGAGTCTGGACATGCGGTGTCCAGCTTCTGATTGGTTCGTCACGTTTATGATTTTCCCACTGAATTTTGAATTGACAGTTTTAATCCACTTTTATAGTTTTACAAACGACAATCGTCAATCAAGTCTAGTCCGACCTCCTTATCCAGGCTTCATGGTACTATCCATAGACATAATATATCTAGAGTCTAGACCAAGCATTGAGCAGTGGGGGTTCACATGCGAACAAGAGAGAACGAAATAACACAAAACGGAGTTTGTCCTTTTCTACGTGCACCTCCACCCCCACTGCTCAAATAAAGGCAAACGCTCGGTCTAGATATATTATGTCTATGGTACTACCACAAATTTCTATAGAAGCTGTGTGAACTACAGCCTGAAACTTATCGATGTATAGATGGGAATAAAGATTATGAAAATGTGAATCCTAGTAAAACTCAGGTCCAGGCATTAATGAATAAGACCGTACATACGGTAACTCGTCGCGCGAATCCCTCTCGCCTTTCGCGTGCCACGATAAAGGAAATAAAGAGGTTCTCGTCGAACCCCCCCCCCCCCCCGTCTCGTCCTCTTTTATGCAACCCCTTTTCCACTCGCAGCACCGTTTAAATCATCGACCGGATGGCAAGGCGTCCGCTCCTCTCTTTTCGCTATTCTTTCGAGTTTAGCGCGTTTAATTTTCTATTTGATAACGCCGTGATATCGATTCTCGATTAATGATGCGGATTTCGCGGATTACCTGCGGATTCTTTGGTGAACCCGAGATAGATTCTGCAGCGAACGTTTTATAAAATACCCCGCCCCTTATGTCTTTTCAATCTTCTCGTTTGCGTTAAGTGCTTCATCGCGCAGGACTCGTTATCTCGCAAACGATGTTTTCGATGTCTGAAAATACCGCGGGCGTCGTTTAACGCGGCACCAGAGAACCGCGCTTCTGATAACGACCTCGCTCTCGTTCGTGTACATAAGCTACCTAGAAATTAGATCGACGCAATTCGCATTAATGATGAAAGTAAGAAGGATTCCGGGGAGTTTGAGGTAAGTGGTCGAAGAACTTGCTCAACCCCTCCTTCTCCCTTTTACGAAGAAGCTCCGCGAGTTTTCCTCGCCGCTTAAAACGTTAAGTCTCGCGCGGTGCATCGAAATTCGTTGCCGAACGTCTCGCATAAACGCCGAGCGGCTTCTTCAATTTCTTAATTGCCAGGTCTCGCCGTGGCTCGTCCGACCGATGTCGTCTATGACGCTTGCGAGAAACGGCGAACCGCGTCACTGTTTGCAGAAGCGAACGAGTCGAAGGGTAATAACGTAGAGTAGAGTAGAGACTCGATACCGGCGAGTAATAACGGTAATAACCGTATAATGACTGTTGCATTTTCACTAATTGGACAAATGAATCGCGATAAATGGCGGCGCGTTGCCCGAGAGAGAGAATGTTCCGACACATTTCTAAAGGCCTATGTCCACGATGCTAGAACTTGGTCCAAGTTCTAGTTCCGAGGAATGTGTGGCCAATCAACTTGCAGCTTTTACAGAATAGCTGCAAATTGACTGGCTACACATTTTTCGAAACTAGAATTCGTGGACACAGGCCTTAAACGTGATGCCGGTGTCGCGAGCCTCAGGCGACGAGTCCGCGAATGGATTCCGAGGAGGAACGGCGCAAAATAAGAGAACGAATCTGTGATTAATGTTGTGTCGCAACTTACGGGCCAATATTTTACGCTACCTGCGAACAAAGGGGCGCGAAATTAATTTTTGCGCCCGCGCCGCGCCTCGGCGCTTTCGTCCCCTCGCGCGCGGTGAGTTTCGGCTTTAATTTCCAACGCGGGTCGATTCGTCGTAATTTCAGCGCAGTATCTATTCCGCAAAACGGTATCTCCGCGAAACGGAAGCCCCTGTCGCGGGCGTTGTGTACGCGCGGCAAGTTTATCCGCCGTGGCGTCTCCACCATAACGGCGCCGAGGGTCCCGTCGCGCCATTACTTTTCATCCCTTATCCCGTATTCCTTTTTTCACCGCGCCCCGCCGTCGACGGCGAAACGCTTCGCTGTTGAGCTTCGAAGCTCATGCTCGCGCTCTCGGTTCTCCCGCGACAATAGAAAGTAAATTCACAATTGCGCGTATAATATAATAATAGGGGTTCCTTGTTCATCGTCGGGGTATTCCTCATTTGAGTCCCGGTCCTTGCTTTGTATTTGGAGACGCTCTCACGCTAGAAATTGTTCGTCGAGAATTGATTATTTTTACAACGCGGAATTGTGTCTTTGATGCTTGAGATTGTAGCTTTTACCGTTTTGCCCCTCAATCACGGCATATTCTGCCTTAATATGCGCAATTATACGTGCAAATTTACCCAAATTGTTACAATTTAATGATAAAAGATAATCTCCGAAAGCATATCGCATTGAATTAATCGCACTTGGGATTCTGATCATGAAATATCAATCGCGAAGTCCAAAAAGGTATCGAAGTTAGTTTTAATATTTTTAACAGTCAGACTGTAACGTTTCATATTCATATCGCAGTTGTTCATTCGCTCAGGAATAAAAGCATGAGTATTCTTGAATTTTTCAATTCCACTTTGTGAAATTTACGTGCACGCTTAATGCGTCTCGTCCCACGAAGAGGTGCAGTTACGTCACGGAGTGTCAGAAGCACAACGCGCGTGTATCACCAATTCCCTCCCTCTTTCGCTTCCTTTCTCCTTACGATGTCGGCGCGTCGCCGTCTCCTTTCGTCTTCCTTCACGAGCGGGTGATAACATGTGATTAACGTCCTCGTTATCCGTCACGCCCGGGCACCAATTCTTCGCTCTCGCTCCTCTTTGTCGCCCGGCCTCTCGTTCCCGCCGTCCGCGATAGGTTCGACCCGGACGGGTTTCGCTTACTCTCGTGGAAATTTCGCCTCCGTCCCCATTTCTCTCTTTCCTGCGGTACCGGTTCCCGCGTCCCACCCGTCGTCCACGCGCCGTTAAACGACAGGGGCGCGAGGGGCACGACGGCGACGACGACGACGGCGAGAAAAATGCGCGCCCCGCGACGAAATTACCGCGAGCTCCGGACGCTTCGTCACTTCTCGCCCCCGCGATTAAATATCCACGGTCGCGGAGCGAGAAATTTACGCCGCGTCCTTTCGCCGGCTCCGCTCGCTCGGTTTCTTTCGACTTTCGAGCCGCGCGCGAAATTAGACGCGACGGAGGGACCGGCAACTCGGAAAAGCGGTTTATCGATCTTCGAGAGGGCAACAAAACGAGACACGACGTTAATCGATACGTGCGGGGTGACTAGTCGCTTTTCAACATGATTAAGATTAACGATCCGGGATTACTTTTCGAATACAAACGCAAGACTATTTTCGTTTCACGTGCTCGTAGTTCGACGTCGATACGCTATTCTCGGGTCATAAAAAATACTTTAGAGCAGGATATTTAAGCCCGCACCGTCAG